CATGAAATGAACAAACCTAAGAGAGGTCTACCCAAGGTACATATACAACAAGTATCAAAGCATTTAGGCTTGTAGTTTTCAAGAAGAAGTCGAAAAAGTAAAACATTGACACGGACGACGACGACGACGACGGACAATCACTCATATGATAAGCTCCGCTCGACAAAGTCGACAGCGGAGCTAAAAATAGCTAATTATCATGCAAATTAGGTAATTAATATGCACAGATTTTTACCAAAAACTAATCAAATCTGCACATATGTTCAGAGCATCTATGTACTAAGTTTCATCAAAATCCAATGAGTGGTTCTTTAGATATCAGTGGAACAGTCATAGAACAGCTAAAAATTAGCTAATTATCATGCAAATTAGGTAATTAACGAGCATGGATTTTTACCAAAACCTAATCAAATCTGCGCATTGGCCCAGGAGCATCTATGCACCAAGTTTCATCATAAACCGATGTATGGTTCTTGAGATAGCAGTGGAACAGTCGGACACACATACACACACACACACATATACAGACACACTAACTGCAAAGACTCCCATTATGTGCTTCGCACATGGGAGCCAAAAAAAAAAAAAAAGCTTATCTAAGTTTTGATGAAAACTGCCACTACAAATACCAATAGTTGGTTCGAGATTCAACACAAGCAAAATGATTTGAATGAGTAATAATATCTTTTTCCTCAATTGGCAATGTGACACTGTGCACCACAGAAATGAATGAAGGTATAAAACATAGAAAAAAGTTAGCAAAGTGGTTGATACTTCCCTGTTATGACTGAAATGAATCCAGAACAACTAAGTGCCATTTATTTACCAATGCAACTCTAAGCAACATTAGAAAGTGTGTTGAATGGGAAGATCATGATCTGTTATTTTTAAATAGTAAATTTTATTCAAATTACTTCACTTACTTCTCACCACGTTTCCAGCATGCATCGTCAATCGGATGATATTTCTCTTTGTAAGGTTCATATGCATTATCTTTACTTGATGGTTTCTGCATACCAAAGACACTGATTGGAAATAAGTCAAATATCAATCAAGATCAGACTCAAAACAGCGCTAATATGCAATTAAATACTTAATTTTATTCCAAATTTTGAATTTGGATCAGGAAATTTACAATTTGATCTTGGTGGTTACTAGTATATATCTATTCTTGTGATATGAATTATAAGTTTCTAGAATTAAAATTTACCCTAGTCAGTCCTTACAGCAGACACAAATAAGATTCATACGGGTAACTTGCAACTTCCCTGGGAAAGTCCTTATCAATGTTTCAATAAGCCATCAACTTCCCCAGATAGTTGAAAAGGTCGCAAATAAAAATCGTATGAATATTTTAGAACTTATAATCACAAGATTGCCATAATACATACCTAGACAAAAATTAATTATTCCAAATCACATTCTTCAAAACACTAATCTGTATTTGTTACCTTTTTGCAGGTTTTTCATCTTTCTGCTTTTTCTCTTTTATATCCTCATCAGATTTCTCTTCTTTTTTCTCCTTTTTCACCTCAGGTTTGGGTTTCTCTTCTTTTACTGAGGTAGTGTCAGACTTTTTTGCTGGACGTGAAGCTAAAAAAATTAAATAAACATCAAATTAAAAAATTCACTACAACATTCATACATACATATTCATGTTATGGAGATCTTGGAAGATGAATACATTTTACTAGCAAAATTGTCAAGTTGTCACCCAAAAAAATGGAAATATTTTTAAGTATACAACAGTAGAGTAATAAAATTTTTTTTAAATGTTTTACCAAAAAAGTTGTGAATGGGTGACTTTATTTTCTCTTTTTTAACTGTTGCCATGGTTTCTGTTTCTTCTTCTTCCTCTATCTTCTTTCTTTTCTTTGATTTGTTTTTTTCTTTCTTACTTGATTGCTGTTCATCATCACTATTTTCCTCTTTCACTTTTGTCTTTTTCTCTTTCTTGTGTTTTGTTTTTTTGTCACACTCAGTTGAATCCTCTTCGCTGCTTACTTCTTGTTTCACTTTGGTTTTGGGAGTCTTTATCTTGGTTTCTTTCTTAATCATCTTGCCATCATCAGACTTGGCAGTTTTCTCCTGCAAGGTACAAAAGTAAGTATTTGGAAAAATTTTGTATAAAATAATATAGGATTCGAGGGAGCTCATTTTTACCACCAAAACTTGTGTCATACTTTGGAGTAATTGTAATTATGAAGGAAATATCTTTTTTGAAGAACATCAAGGCAGTCAGGTGGTGAATTTATGCCTTCATCAATTTTGGGTTCTATTACTATGAAACATTACAGTACATCACAATACATCAGCAATCAAAACTCAAAAATAACCAAATATGAAAATTGTAACTGAAAAATGCACCTGTATGATTAGTGGCATGTCAGCACATACCTAAAAAAACTCAGGACCTAGACTCAGCTATGTCGAGATTTGCTGTCTGAACGCTTGGCACAAGTCGAGATCACACCATCAGTGATGAATGTAAGAAAACATACTGATTCATACTAGTATGACATGACAATGGAGGGAAATGCAGCTATATATGCTTGGATGCTGCAGTAATAAATGAAATTAATTCAGAATGTTGTCGGCAACGCATATTTTTGTGCTATAATATTGCAACCTTTTTTTTTTCAATGCTACATCGACATGACAAAATAATTGTTTTTCGAATCTTCTTTGCCGTTCAGGTGCAGGATGACTCGTAATAAATACCATAACAGCAAATAAATATAATTTCAATATACCGGGGTAGCAATTATTATTATTATCGTCAGTGTTCTCCCCAGGCCTTTCAAGCACTGCGGGCCCGCGTCGCTTAGACAAACGGCAGCGTCGCTTTTGTTTCGCCCGCGATCCTTGAAATCCTGCCCGCGATGCTTATTCACGTTGTATTGTTTACAAGTGTCAGCCTCGTCTAGCACATCTTTAAAACAATAACATGTATTGATCGAAAGGTAATCCCGCCTTTGTACATAGTTAGCCTTACAAAAACAGTGATAAAAACGGAAGTCTACAAGAAGTTACCAAGTCTATCAAGGGTGCGGAGCTGGCAAACTCAAAATACTAGGGTAGTAATAATTTGCCCATTGCGTCAGGATGGTTTATCCCGAGTTGCTGCACTGCGATTAATTGCGTTTTTACTACTTCATCACCAGTGACACTAATTACCAAAAATTAAAAAAACAAGTGAAATTAAGTCGCATCGGAAAAAAAAACTGTAAATAAATCGAAGTAAAAATTATTCAACTGCAGACGAGACAGACCAGGAAAAAATGAAGCCTGACCTCTAGAAATACCTCATTCATAGTGCGTCATTACCGAGGAACGCCACCCTAAGGTGACGTAACGCATGTAGTGACATCACAACCGATGCATGCTGGGTTACAACGGAGATTTTGATTGAGGTAGCAAAGATGGCGGCGCAGAGTGCATGTTTTTCCGCGATGTTTAAAAACAACATTTCGTTGGCGATTTTGACGTAATTATAAGTTAATCATC